TAGGCAAACAACTCAACCATGCATTTGATACGTCCTGTAAAATCATGCCAACATCGATTCTTACTTCATTTGTTAACAAATTTCACATATTATGTTATCAAAAATCATTAAATAGTTTTTCAATTTATTGTCATTAAATATTTCTTAAGATTTTTTTATAAAATAAGGATTTAATCTCGTCTACAATTTTTTTTTACAAATTTCTGACCTCAAGTTAACATCAGCAACATTAGTTGAATTGCCAATAAAAATAATAAATATACAAACCGTAAATGAAAATAAACATTAACCTCAGTTCCTACAACAAAAACAACATCATGGCCTACTGCAACAACAACTGCATCGTACGCTGCTTTAAAAATATTTACACATAATCAAACGACGAAATTCAAAAACAGCATCAACAACAACAACAACATCATCAACAACAATGACAACAACAACAATGATCAACACCATCCTTAATTTCATTGTTTTCACCATCGCCATCTTTGTCGTCATCATCACCGAAATTGCATTACATTTGATAATCACCCTACCACCACCAAAAACAGCAACAAAATCATCATCAACAACAGCATTAACAACAATATTAACAACAGCAACATAACGAAAACATCTTCCTCTAATGCCACCTTAATGCACCTTTTTAGCGCCCTTTTAAAATTCACGCTTCACGTTTAAAATCTATTAGTCAAATATTTTTATGTGCATATAAACATGTTTGCTTGAATGAGGTGAGTGAAGGAAGATGTGGAAATGTCTCGTTTGGAATATGAGATAAGTGGATAAACGTTTGGAGGCATTATTCGCTCTTGTTTGTTATCTCCATCGTTATCATTTAATCATTGTACGTGTATGTATATATGGGATTACACTTTTTTTTCTTTACTTAGTTTTAATTGAATTCGTTTACTTCAAAACCATTCAAATTTGGAATAAAATGTTATCACACAAAATGTGTACATACGTACATTCATTGCGAATGGTGCATGATGCATGATGAGCAGTGCATCAATGCGTGCGTGAGTATTTTGTATGTGGTTGCGTTTGCTTGTAAGCCGATGAACTGCAAATAAGTTGCATACATCGCCAGTACAAACGCTCAATCAGAGTCACAATCGACCAATTAATGAATGGTGCACACTTGTGTTACGTGCATTCACACGCGCCTGTCTGCGAACGTGAAACATCCTCACACACATGCATCACGCACAACAACAACAACAACAACATTTCAACTTGTTTATTTGTGCTTACAAGCATATTATTCATGCTGTTGTTTACTCACTTGTTTGTTCGAATGTGTTTTTAAAATAATTCAGCCCATTAAAGTCTGTATGACGATGATGCGTGCAGTTGTTTGTTTATGCGCTTGCTGTCAGCAGAATCGTGCAGTGTGGTCGGAGTAGTTCGCGACCGTCAACAGTTGTCTCCACAAATGAGTTTGCGGTTGGTGCAAATTTTAATGTTAAATATGTACACTAAGTTCTTTCAAACAAATATGAAATGTTTACAGAAATGTTTATACAAATATCATTACACATGTATCATGTTAGTGTGTACTCTAATTTTTTTCTCTAAAATGAACAATTCGTCTTCATTTTTATCGCTCGAAGCATCTCCATCGATCGTTCCGATTGACAAATTTGTCTGTTCGTGGTGAAGAAGATGCTGTCATCTTAATGTTTCACAACTGCGTATGGTTTTTTTAAATAACTGCCTACAATCGTTGATTTAATTGAAGCAATTAAGTGATTTAATTTTTATTTAAAATCAAACATTTACTTTAATAAAATAATCAAAATGTTGTATCCGATGGACTGGCCGCCTGAACTTGAATGTATCTCCGTCCACTCCACTCCACAGTTCCGTATGAAGGACCATCTGCTATGGACGCGTAGAAGCGGCAAATTGAATGTTCATCCCGTCATACATAACAGTCGTTCAGTTTGTCGTTTTAAATGATAAACCAACTTGTTTATTTAAAATTTACGTTCTCATTAGTGACAAACAAAACATGAGAACAAGAGATAGTAAAACGAACAAACAAAAACAATCAGCAAGCATTTCAAACAAACAACACAAAACATCACCACATTTACACACATTAGCATAGTTCGTCGCTTTTAAATATAAACAAAATTACTTTCAAATGTGGGTGGGATGAACTAACTGAGAATTTAAAACATTATAAACTGAAAGCCATTGAAGGAGAATGAGCGATAATGGAATAATTTAGAAACAAACATTTAAAGAAAAAACCAGCAAACAGTCAGACGAACAAAAGAAAAATGAAGAAAATCAAAAACGAACCAAATATTTCCCCAATTAGTGACGCACCATTAATCACGTGATAGTTAATGCAACAAGTCACGTGGTCACTAGATGATGACGTCATCATTGCTTATCTTCACGCTTCAGTGCTTGCATCATCGGTGTCACATTTGCTCTCTTCAGAGATGATTGTGATGTCGGTCATTATTATTATTGCTCTTGTTTTAATCAAGATTGTTGTTGATGTTATTGTTCTTGTTGCTATCTTTGTTATTGTTGTTGTTGTGTTGTTGTTGCTGCTGCTGTTGTTGTTGTTTTTGTCGTTGTTTCGTAACGACCGCAATTTTTGTTCTGTTGTTAATGTTATTATGCATATTAGTGCTTCACAGTTTCATATTCTTATTGTGTCAGTTTTTAATGCTGTTTAAAATCAAAATGCAGTCATAATAATAACAATAACAAAAATTAATGAAATTTTTTTCCATTATAAAAAAAGAAAAATGGAACAAAATTGTCATTTATTATTATTATTGTTGTTGTTGCTGCTGTTGTTATTGTTGTTATTATTTTGTTTTTAGGGATTATGTCTGAACACAGCACATCTTCCGTTAGCGTAATTGTATTAGACATTTGTATCCTGTAAATAGCATTTATGTAAACAGTTTTAAATTAAATACATTAATTAATTAATTAAATGTTGAAAAAGAGAAATCATTACATTTAAACTTTCCTCAAATATTAAACTAATTAATAAAAGTGGTAACGTAATGATGACGAAGAAGACGACGATGACAATAATATAAAATGACTCGTAAAGGAAAGTAAATGAATAATGGTTTTGACCATGTTGTTGTTGTATTTGATCAACAAACTCAAAAAAATATTATCAACTGCCAGAGAATTAGATGCAACAGTGCAGTTGGAAACTTGAAAAAAATATTTGCCATCGCAGTTCGTGTTTGAATTTTGCACCTACAACATTTCACTGACCTGCATTGGTATGTATCTCAACACCCTGGTCACCAAAACAGCCAGATCATGGGTGTCCTTGTCTATTTGCAGTTTTCTGTGAGAAACCTTGTCGCCCCCATACAAACCAAGTGGTTTAAACGTTAGATCGCTCAAAAATTTTGCCGAATCTTTAAGGTTAAAATTCCGTAGCTAGCTAAAAGCTCAAAGATTTATAAAGCAAATCATAAAAAACGGCAAGCCTTTCAGAAGTGCTGTTTTAATTTATCAGAAAAAGCCTCATGTATCAACTTTCTACAAATACGAAATTGTTCAGATGGTGCGAATCGTCTACAGCCCTCTGTCCATTATACAAGGCTCGGCAAACTAACAAACATGTTCCATCCAACTGCAGTTCGGCGGTGGCAATGAATTCTGCAACAGCTTTATCATTTCGGTAATACCATCATCTTGTGCTATTTATTGCGATAGAAATAACTATTGAATTGTTAATTTAAAGGTAATTTTCTCTTGTTGTACACATTCATTCTGGATGACGAGCAACGTATCATAGCTAACATTTATTTGTAAGTTCTCTATTTTTTAATTTTTTTTTATTATTACGTAATCGCTTATCATCAGTTGACGATGTTCTTGTTATTTTTAATTTGTCGGTTTAAACTTTCACTTTACTTTTAAGGCCATCTATATGCCAAATAAACTGGTTTGTTTAACTTTCTCAATGTTTCTCAATGATCATAATTGTTTAAGACGAACATTCGTGTTGCCTATTACTACTTCTAACACTTCAATTAAACGAATAAAAACTTTTGTTTAGAAAATTTCTATTCCTTATTATATAGTTTTCTAAATTCATTTCATGCTGATTCTCAATTCTTACCGAGTTTGTGTGTTCATATAACAGATGTTGTATTGAAACAAATCAAAAAAGTACTACTGAAAAATGGAGTCAATTTAACATGATGGCTGGTTGTTCTTCATGAACTGAAATCTACATCACATGCAAACCCTCACATATAAACACAAATAAATAATTTTACCAATACTGACACATACAAGTTCCTATTATTATAATTCATATTTGAAAAAAATTGACAACTAGGTACAAATGTACTGGAAAGTTATGCAACTATGCATGCAAATGCACAGCATAATAATCACTCATACACGATCATACATGATTTGATTATCAAATATTTTGAACGTGTGTACGTTATTAAAAACAACCGTCCGTAATATACAGAGTTGATAGGAAACCAACACTGCACGCACAAACACGTACGAAACACGCGCACACGCATATATACAAAAACATTAACACAGATAAAAATGAACAACCACACATTCCCATACACACATGCAAGCCAAAGCACACACAAAATTGCGCGCACACACAAGTGCACAGCGTGGCAACAGTGAGGCGTGAAGTTAGTATGAATTTTCCGGTCCACCGAAGCAAACGTCCATAGAAATTACCGGAACATTCCATTTTCACTCAAATGCAGGCTGGCTCCCCGATCTGTATCCTCCTCATCATCGTTGTTGACGTCATCGTCGTCCTTGTCGCTGCTTCATCGTCGTCATCGTCTTCAACTTCATCATTGTTATTTTCTTCTTAATCACCTTCATTTCCTCACTGTCATCACCATCACCATCGTAGCATCATTTTCATCATCTTCATCATTGCAGTCATCAGTATCATTATAGGAACCATCTTCATCATCATTGTTGTCTGTATTAATATGTTGAAAATGTCATATGAAACTTCTGATGTTGATGATGAAGCTTATAAAATGAGTAGCTGGCTGGCTGGATAGCTGCATTAAGTTGCAAAAAACCCTGCCGGCCTCATGCTGGCCCAAGCAGTCCACCTCCCCTTTTTCCATGTCGATGAAATATTTCCAAAACTGCTGGACATATCGTCTGCCAACCTCTGCGTCATGTGCAAGCTGTGAGAGTTCGTTCATCAACTCAAAATTCCTTGACTGTTCGAGATTGTTTAACTCTGCGTTGCTAGGAACTGTATGGTACAAACGTACGCATAGAAGAGGGACCATCAGAACACTTAACCTCTAAGACGCCATTTAGAACATCGAGAGAAAAAAATCACGAAAAATGAAAAAGCGAAAACAAACAATTTTTTGTTAGAAATTGTACGCTCGTTAACTTTGCTTGCATTTATTTATACGTTCTGTACTTGCTTCATGATGTACTTACTGTTTCTTACGCGATTAACGTTAGCGAAAACCAGAGGGGGACCCGATGAAACTTGCTGCCTGCCAGGGCTCCTGGCCTCCTCGATACACCATTCTTGCTGGTGTTTCCCCCCATTCTTACTGCTGTTTTCCCCATCCTCACTGGTGTTTTCACTAATATTAATGCTACTATACTGAAATCGTCATCCAATTTTTTATCGTCAATGTTGAAATAATTGTATAATATATTGCGTTATTGACTTTGAATCAATATCTACTCTTTCCTGCTTTCAGCAACGACCACGAAAGTTATGATGATGATGAGGAGAAGGAGGAGGAGGAGGAGGAGGATGGTGATGATGATGAGGATGCTGATGAGGATGAGGATGAAGAAGAAAATGATGATGATGAGGATGATAATGGCAGTTGCTAGTGATGACAATGATGGAGATTATGATAATGGTGAACAAATTGACGGTGGTTCTGATCATGATGTGATAATGACATCACGATGCAATGTTACTCTAATCACCAAAGACGCTGGCAGATGGTTACGATGTTTTACTCATTTTTTTAAAGTCAATCTACCTCACTTCCTCGCTTAAAGTATTTTTAAGCCATTAAAAACTGCAAGCCGAAAAACAACGCAACAACATCTGATCTCAGAGGCATCATTATCGTAAGATCTCATCTACATCATCATCATCTCCATCATCTCCATCATCTCCATCATCATCATCTCCATAATCATCATCATCATCTACATCATCTCCATTATCCTCTTCATTATCATCTTCTTCATCATCTCCATCATCATCATCTCCATAATCATCATCATCATCTACATCATCTCCATTATCCTCTTCATCATCATCTTCTTCATCATCTTCTTCATCATCTTCTTCCTCATTATCATCTTCCCATTATCATCATCTCCACCATTCTCTTCGTATTATCTCATCTATTCCGTCATCATCATCATCATCACTGCCTCTTGAATCATCATATTCATATTCATCTTTATCATCATCATTTTTTTCTTCTTCATCATCATCTTCATAACCGCCATCATCATCTTCATCATCATCATTCTATCCGTTTTATCTCATCTATCATCATCATCATAGCTTTTTGCTAGTCATCGTCATCATCATCGTCATCGTTATCCTCATCATGATTGAGGTTCTATTCATAACATGTGGTGTTTATCGTCAAAGAATATTCTCATCATCATATGAAAATCTATCCAGCATCATTTTATATTTTTATTTTCATCATCATTATCGGCGCCATTTATCAACAAACAATCATCTTCGTCATCTTTATGCTTTCATATCATGATGAACAGTCTTACCATCAAATTCAACACCATCATCATCAGCAAACGTGACTTTTTTTCTATTTTCACCATCTTGTCATCATAACAGTGACAACAATTTGTAACAACATCTTCTTATCAGTAACATTAACTACAACCTAAACAACTGCAGCCTAAACAACTGCAGCCTAAACAACAACAACAACAACAACAAGAGCAACAACAACAACAGCATCCTTAACAACTACACATCCTCCCATTAATTGTTGTGGTAGGTGTATTATAATATAATATCAAGGATGTATTGCAATCTAATCTCAATTTTCTTCCCGATACTATTTTTTCTATTTTTCAATCAAATTTTAATTTCTTTTTTTCTGTTTTTCTCCCTTCTTTTTTTTTCCCACTCTCTCTTTCTATCTATCTCTCTCTCTATCTTTCTCTCTCTTTTTCTCTCTCTCTTTCTCTCTTTCTCTCTCTCTCTCTCTCTCTCTCTCTCTCTTTCTCTCTCTTTTTATTTTTTTCTTTCAGCACTGTCTTTCTTTTTTTATGTTTATCTACTTTTTTCTCTTCTCTCTCTTTTTCTCTTTCTCTCATTCTCTCTTTCTATCTCTCTCTCTTTTTCTCTCTGTGTGTGTTTGTGTATGTGTGTGTTTGTGTATATTTGTGTGTGTGTGTGTATGTGTTAGTTACACTTATATGCATTGCGTGCGTGCGTGCGTGAACATTATTTATCTATAAAGCATTTCAAATTATTCATCCCTGTTTTGTTGAGGAGGAACAAAAATTAGAGATGATGATTAAGTATTTGTTGAATATATACACCTGCTTGCATTTTCTACATGCACATACACAAACATACATACATACATACATACATACATACATACATACATACATACATACATACATACATACATACATACATACATACACACACATACAAACATACACACACACACACACACACATACATACTTACATACATACATACATACATACATACATGCATACATACATACATATATACATACATACATACACACACACATACATACACACACATACAAACATATACACACGCAAACAAATACAACACTTTTATGTATGCAGTGCTTGCAACAAAAAAAACATCCATATATGTAAGTACATATATATATATATATATATATATATATATATATATATATATATATATATTCTTTATACACATAACATTTACGTAAACACACGCAGGTCTATAGGATATAGCGTGTCAACGCATTTCATATGATGTAGGATGTAGAGATATAATAAGATGTAATGTGGAGTGCACGCCGCAGTGTAAAGCGGATATAAATTGCAGAGGTAGGCTAGAAGTACGTGAGAGGCAAATTGAAGCGATATATAAGGTGCCGCGTGTCTTCCTTTCCTTCTTGCTTACTCCGTACCCATCAGCCTGTATGCATTCCAGGTCTGCTTGAAAGTTTCGTTCATTTGTTGAGGAGCATTTGTTCGCAGTTTACGAACACCCTCATTTTAAATGTTTTAAAATGTCGCTGTCGGTACAACAGCAACAGCAGCCGATTAAATTGTACAATTTGTCATCTAGCAAAATGAATAATTCTGATTTTAACAACAGTAACGTGCTCAACAACAGCAGCAATAGCATTCATTCAAACAACAACATCCACAATCAAAACACTGCAACTAAAGCCATCAAAACACCCAACAAATCTTCAGCAAGCAACATTTCAAAGAACAACAATCATTACGACATCAGCACCAACATTCACAACAACAACCCAAACGTCAACAGCAGCAACAAATTACCGACAACAATTTCAACAATGATGAAGACATCTTCAGCAAACAACCACAACAACCACAGCAGCAGCAGTGGCAGCAGCAGCAACAACAACAACACAATAGCAAGGTGTGCAGCCTGTAGAAAACTTATAAAGGAGAGATTCTTGTTGAAAGCACTGGACCAAGTGTGGCATGAGGACTGCCTCAAATGTTCCTGCTGCGATTGCAGGTTGGGTGAAGTTGGATCAACTTTGTTCACTAAGGCCAACCTCTTGCTATGCAGGAGAGATTATTTAAGGTTTGTTCCTTCGAGTTTGTTTGCCTTATTTGAAAATGTTTTTTCATGCAGGTTGTGTATTAAGTTTTTAAACATTTTTTCATAAATACGAGTTGATTTTTTTTAACTTAAGTTTTTGTCTTCGTAATATTTTGACAGATAATTTTTAAATATTGAGATGTACAAATACATTGATGTTTAGTGACATCAATTAAGCTTACCATCTCGAGCTTGTCAGTTGATAACAACATGCCCTTTCATTCAAGTTTATAACCTGTTGTTTGGGATCAAAAGTCTAATTATAATTGTCATCAACAGCTCATCTTAAACGCATCATTTTATCATCTCCCCGCTTATGTTGTCGCTGCAGTTTGTGGTGTTGGAGAAGATGTTTCACTGGAATTGTTGCATTGCACATCATTCATCATGTGATAAATATGTGTGTGCGTATGTGAGTGGACGTGCGTGTATGTGAGTGTGTGTGCGCTTCACGCGAGAAAAACAAAGGCGATCCTGCATCATTTGCAACTCCTAGCCATTTTTATGCTCCATGTCGTTGGCGGAAAGTATTTAAAGAAAAACTCGCTCCACCCTGCGATGAAATATCCTTCAAGATTTCGTATGTACATCACGAAAACCATACACCTAGCGCGAGACAATATATCATAAATATTGTATAAATACATTTTCTGCGTACATTCTTGCGACTGCGAATGTCTGCGTTCATGTCTGCGCTCATGTCTGCGTTCATGTGTGTGTGTGTGTGTGTGTGTGTGTGTGTGTGTGTGTGCGCGCGTGTTTGTCACTTAGCGTAAACGTTAAATGAATGAATGAATGAATGAATGAATGAAGCATCTACATAGAAGAGATTGATGGCCGCGCACATTAAACTCAATTTATATTATTGGCCCGACAAATAAGCAATCCCATCTCATAAAGCCCGAACTAACAATGCGTGAAAATGACGAACAATTTTGGATGCGTCTAGGAGGATGAATGAGTCCGAGCATCCTTCGACGCTCGTTCATTTTTTAATTTCAAACATTCTAACAAAAAAATAATATTTGTATAAAAAATGCAGTTGTAAAAGCAAAATTTGAGACATAAAATTGCTGAGTAGACAAAAACCTCCGGACATAATAAAAGCACTCCGGACATAAAGTTCCCGAGCACAAACCCCTCAAACATCAACGCCCTGACAACCGTCAAGTAGAGAAATTTCTCGCTTGCTTACGCGCATTATGGTTTAACTTCTTCTTATAATATGAATAACATTGAACCCCAAATTTTTGTTTCGTCTCAGAATTACTGAAATAATTATATTAACACTAAACACTGATCAGTTAGTGTTAATATGTTCTAACCAATTATTAATTAATTTATTTATTTATTTATATTTCTAATTAATTTTAGGTGTGATTACTGATTACTATAATAGAGTTTGTTGCGATTTACACAAATTTTGGTGTCTACATTTAGCTGAACTATTAATTGCTACAGATAAAAATATTATATAATTAATGATATCCTTAATGGTATGAAAGGGAATTATTCAAAATATTTATCAAATGATATTTATAATTATTATCAATATCACAATGTTTATAGCGAAATTTAAATTATAATTATTATTGTTGTTTTCTTTCTTACTATTATTATTATTACAATTTTATTATTTATTAATAATGTTATTATTACTCTACATTTGAAATATTTCGTCAAAGGCATTCTATCAATATATTACGGAGTGAATGCTTCATTCGTATTGAAGCTGCCATTGACTGAAATTAAAAAAATTTGACGACCAACAATTATAGTACAATTGAATAAAACAGAGTTGTGACAAATATTTATTAACGGGCCATAAACACAGACATAAGCACGCCCAATATATATATATATATATATATATATATATATATATATATATATATATATATATATACTTACATATACATACAAGAATGTATAAAAGCATACACATACAAAACTCATAAACAGTTATGCATGTTAACACGCGCACAAAATTACGCGTCAACTAACACATAATTTACTTGTGCGAAGGCAGAACACACTCTCACATAGGCAATCACACATAAAAACTCAAACATTTAAGGACAAAAGAAAAGCACGAACACAACAGAAAGATACATGAACACACATACAGACATACACACCACACATACGCACACACACACAGACTGACAGACACACACACGGATAACTAGGCTTGACACGCCTAATACCATGCATATTAGCCAAATATCATCGCGTTGATTAACGCTTTCTGCGAGATCTCATTGTAATGAGATTCGCCGGATAATGTGGCAGTTAAAAATGTTTTATCGTCCATCTAGCGAGGAGGAAGATGAGGAAGAAGACGAAGAGGAAGAGGTAGAATTATTTAATTAGTGATGAATGCACAAAGATTACGACTTAATTGAATGCGGAATGCATTGCCATCGTAGGCACGTCACCAGGGCTGGTGGTGAGGGTTTAAAAAACAAAATCATTTCATTCGTAACATGAAGATTAATATTTTAAAAATTTTCACATTTCGTTATATCGTCATTGTTGTCCTTCGTATTATTTTGAATATATTTTATAAAGACAACTTTTTTTGTTGTTTGCTCATTTATCAACCTCAATATAAAATATAGGTAGTTGAATTAATAATAGAAATTATTTTCTCATATTTTTGTTTATATTTTTATTTTTGTTTGAACTTTATGTATGAACAGAACATATTAACATATATTCATATACATTGTTTATGTGTTAAAATTTTATAGTTAATTTTGTGTTTCGGGCCTAGGGACATTTTGTCTTCGCCCATGTTTTTTTTCATTATAATAATAAATATTCTATGTAAATTTTTCATCATAATAAAATTGTCGCATTGGCATTTGATTTACGTAGGTGACTGCACCTCACTTAAAAGTATGTACGACAGATAAACAACTTATTTAACGTCAGTATTTGCTTCTTTTGTAAATAACCAAATCACAGCGGCCTTTCAAAAACAAATGAGTGAATAAACAAACAAACGAACGAACAAACAAACAAACAGATTGTTTGGAACAACAGGATACTGTTCAGCGTGCTCGAAGATGATTCCAGCCTTCGAGATGGTGATGAGAGCCAAGCACAATGTGTACCATCTGGAATGCTTTGCTTGCCAGCAATGCAATCATCGGTGCGTTCTTTTGTTTAATGTATCTCTTGTATCTGTGCCTTCCTGTTTGTTTGTATCTCAGTCTATATGTGCGTGTTTGTTTGCGTGCTTCAGTTGGTCGTGCCTATTGTTAATAAAGTTAATCTCAATGTATGTCACAGATTGAATGATGACTTTGATTCCAAAATACCACCTAACTAAATCATTAAATGTTTTAATCTTCTTATTAGGTACTATATACATTAGTTTATAACAGCAAAAATCATTAGCAATTATCGCTAATTTTTATATTAGATTCTAATTAAAATGTGCTTCAATTCTTATAACTGATGCTTCTATGCTGGAACAATGAAACAGATTTTGCGTGGGCGATCGCTACTTCCTGTGCAACAATCGCATCCTCTGCGAATATGATTACGAGGAGAGGCTGCTGCTTGCCAGGGCCTCCTACGAATACGCAACATACTCGCAACAGCAACATTTCAACAGCAGCAACAACAACAACCACCACATGAACGATGGTAGTAGTGTTTGTTGTTTGAACAATGCCAACAACAGCTTTCCAAGTTTCAACATTCCCGGGTCGACGATGAATGCATGTGAAACTTTGAACTATCCCAATTTTAACTACCAAATGAACAACATCGCAAATCTGCTCACGGTCAACTCGACCAATCACTTAAGTGTTGATAACAACAACCACATAAATATTGAAAACAACAACCATCACAACATTAACAATAACTTAACATACAACGCATCCCTTTCCCCAAACTACCAACAACAAAATCAACAACAGCAACAACAACAACCACAACAACCACAACAACAGACACAACAACCTCGTCAGCAGCCAAATCCACAACATTCCCGTCAACAGACACAACATCAGCAACAACCGAACCAAACTCAACAGTCGCATTCCACAAATTCTGACGATTTTTCAAGTGGTTATGGCAGCCCAAGTTCAAATTCAGCATAAAACATTAAAAATAAATAAACTGTTCTGAATGATTGAAAGGTAGTAAGTGACAATAAGAATGTTTATATATCATCAGTGAATAAATAATTTTAAATCAAGTGCATAATGAATAAAACTCACGCAATTTAATAAAAGCACCTGCCAATACCAAAAACACAAAATACAAAAATATATGTACGTCTCTATGGAAACTGCGAATCGGCACAAAATGTCGAGCTTGCGAATGTAAATAACATGTTGTCGATAGCGCAGAGTGGAAATGAAGCGCTGGTCGATGATATAATTAAAGGAATTGAACGTAGTGGATTAGCTTTAGAGTGCAAACATATGATTGAAAAGGAGATTGCAGCGCACAACATCACTTGCAAAGACCTTGATGATGATGTTCCCGTTGGCAACGTTGGGGAGGATAACTCAGTGGCAGACCTTGAAAAAATTTTGCAGCAATCTCGTGTTTACGTTCGAATACAAAATTTTGTCTTTCATTACATGCAACAACTTGAAAAAGACCATGATGTCAGAAGCAAGAAGAACATGAATGCAAACGCCACAGTTATTGATCAGTCAACCCAAGTGTCTTGCATCAACAGAGCACGTATCAGCTGGGAAAAACGTGTTTCGAAAAGTCTCAACAACATGAGCACCGAGCTAAACGTTCCGCTGTCCAAACGACGTTCCGATAGAGAACAGCGAGAAGTCATTGCTAGATGGACAGAGCTGGGCACGAACGAACCTGATCTAGCTCGCTTCAGACCTGTTTATGCTGCTAAAGATTTTTTAGAAGTTGTATCCAATTTAAGAAATGTAAACCAGAATGATTTTTTCAATCTACCAGATGTTACAGACTCTGAAAAAATAAATAAGAACATAGGAATGATTCAATGTCAATTACGTACATCAGATTTTTCAATGCTACGAGAAATGTTCAAAGAAATGGATATACAGATAGCTCAAACGGGAGTCGATGATCAACCAATTTTTCCAGCTGAATCATTTTATAACGAGAGATTAAAAACTGCATTCAACGTTCTCAGTTCAGGCCTGAGTCAAGCAGCACAAAACTTCAGCAGAAGAGGTTGTCCCGTCAGTCTGAGATCAAAACTCTGGTGTCTGTCGATAGGCGTCGACGAAGCCAACAAGAGATCAAACTACGGAGCTGTGTTTTACGAACAGCTTAAAGAAAACGTCGCCCAGCAGAATTTGTTAATTGACTCCTTGATATACAAAGATATAAAACTCACAGCTGCAAATGATGACCAGTATTTTGTCTTTGAAGATTATATCTATCAAATTCTACTTCCTTTCTCCAGAGACGATAGTGTTGCCGAACGCTTAATGCATAAAAATGAAAACGGTCAAATAAACTGCTATCCACCGAACGCTGTTGTACCATTTCACGGATTCGCAATGTACGTAGCGCCGCTCTGTTGCGTTTACGACGATCCAGTAACCTTATATTACGTCTTTCGAGAACTATACACCAGACATTTTTATAAATTGCACACTCTCTCGTCATCCAACGACGGAATCGTATCGCTCTGCTTGCAATTCGAAACAATGTTATTTGAACGAGAAACGCAACTATTTACGCACTTGAAATGTATCGGTTTAGAACCACTTAAAACTGCATTTAAATGGATTATAAGAGCCTTCTCGGGCTATCTCGCTAGTGAACAAGTTCTTCTATTGTGGGATCGCATAATTGGTTACAATTCTTTATACATCTTGTCAATTTTATCAGCTGCTATATTTTCATTCAGGAGAACTAACTTAATGCAAGTTCAAAGTTCTTCTGCCGCCGAAGCTATTTTAGTAGATTTGTTAACATTAGAAGTTGTTCCATTAATTCAAATATTTCTTTTTGCAGATAAATAAAATTTGACTAGCTTTTGTAAATCTAATAAAAATTTATAAATGAATGTTGTTTCAGTAAAGAAAATTCGTAGCATAAATCACTCACTCAGTTAAACAACAAAAATAACTTAATATATAAAAACATTAACAAACATTTTATATTAAATTAAGTCTTCTTATTTGATAATCTCATTTCGTCCAATCTTTTCTGTATGTGATCGAAACTGTGAGCGCCCATGAAATCGATGTTGCCCTGTTCCCAATTCATCTTACTAATATTTAACTGATCTTCAAATGAAACAGCACATTGATCATCCTGCTTCGTTTTGTTTTCGAAAGCTTCCTTCAGTTCCACGCCATCACCTTTCAGGTAGATTATTTCTTCAGCAAGGCAGTTGTAATTAGCTTCTGATATCAGTTTCACATTTGGCTGTAGAAAAGTTTCATTTATTAATAAATACAATTTCAGATTTGTTTTTTCTGTTAATTATATTTAAAAGGTTCATTTATTGAGAGTGAGCAGCGTGATGGTCAAGTGGTTAAAGGCGCCTGGTCCTATTTTACAGTGCAAGTTGGGCCGCGTGTAGTCAAATATGTCAAAAAAAAATCCACGTGATGCGTCGTTTAAAACTTAATCATGTACGCTGTTTGTGTTGTTGATTGTTCTGAACATAAGAAGAGCGAACAGGACCTTTGACTTTTTGACTGATTCATAAGATATGCATAAAAACATTTACAAATACTATTTCAGATTGGTAGGTTAAGAAATAAAAAAACTGAAAATTTTTATTAGTTTTTCTGTATAGTTAAATAATATTAGCGGGCAAAATCTTAAACAGTAAAGACGTATAAAGGTTTATTGACTGCATTTGAGCCCAATCAGTATGACGCAATTTAAAAATAAAAGGACCTTGAACTCATATCTAGAAAGACTAGATGTTCCTATATGTGATTAGTGTAATCTCTATGTTCATGGAAAACGATTCTAATCTTGTTTAGTGGACAGTTTACAATTTTTAGTAACAACAACTTCTGGAATGATCCAACCTGGTTTAAGACATGGCTGACAAATGGTTGAACTTCATTAATGTATGCACTGCACCACATATTGATGTATTTATTCAATGTTTCATCATGATCAACATTTTTCTCCAAATAATTCCAAGGGTGTTGATTTGAACCAAATTGCACAGCTTTTATATTTCTTTCATATCTGAAATTTTATTCGAAAAGCTTCATTAGAAGCATTGAAATTTCAACTTTTAGTAAGAAAACCTTATTAAGGCTGAAAAATTTGTAGGGTTTGAATCAATTTGAACGTTGTAAACATATGGAAGTCTGTGAGTGATATTGAGGTGGTGCCAGTCGGCAAAGAACTCGTTCATAATCATATTATCTTCAACAAAATATTTTTTACATGAAATATAATAATGTAAAAAAATTTCATAATGAATGCAATTATAAACAATTTAAAAACTCACCATCAACCATTGGAGAAGAATTTTTGCCAATGAAATCAATAATTGAATTGAATATGTTCACTGACGGTTCATAGACAAAGAATCCAGAATTAAACAAATCAGGCCAGGAAATTTCAGGTGCAGATGAAAAAGTAGGTCTTGAAAAAGCATCACCAATGTAGTTTAAAACCTGCAAAAAAGGTTTATAATGTGATCCAACATTAATTTGAATGGCAATCGGTTCCTAGCATAGCCCCTTCGTTTAGTAAATATATCAATTTAAAATGATGTTTCATGTTTTAAGATGGTTATTTGGCCTAAGATTACTGAAATAATACTGAGAGCAGCCTCTACTATTTGCAAAGCTTTCTATTAACTAAGTGTCAGATCAAAACATTTTTGTTTTGCTAAACAAATGTTATAAAAAAAAAACAACAAAAATTATAGCTGCACTAATGAGTAACTGCATGAGATAAATGAGATAATATGGAACTTACCATCATTGAACTATTCATGAAGACACATTTAGAAAATGAAGTAAGAGTCCAGCAAAAATATTTAGTAAGCAGCTTCTGTAGACTTGGATTTGCATACAGCAAGCTCTTCAGCTGACTATGCTTTGTCATTTGTAAGTTTACTCTTATAACGTAGGTAAAGAGTGTTCCAAGTTCTTTTCTGAATAATTTATGAGTATTCTTCAAAACAATAATGATCAGGATATGAGAGCACAATATATATAATGCAATAAATAAACAGATATTCTGAGATTTTAAAAAAACTATTTACAATTTGACCTAACTCAATACAACACATTTACTAATCTCATTTTATTTCTAAAAACATAGAGCATTAGAAAAAAAAATACAAAGTGTTTCCATTTTACAACATAGAAAACAGAATAAAGACAGAGAAGTAGAGAGGCTTTGGCATAATTACTTCAACCTTATACTCACTTCAACTTAGACATAATCTTGGTATTACAGATCATGGCCCATTCATGTTAGGATATTCTGGTCTCAGTAAAATTGTTCTCATGTGAAAACAATGAAAAAAATAAAAATTGAACTAGTAAAACCTTCCAAAAAACTTACAGAAGCTTCAGTGAAATTAGTGGCCCAACAATAACCACGGTAGGTCTATGGGGGTCAAATCTTTTAATTGTATAAGACAATACCAGAGCACCTTTCACCAAATCATCAGAGGTAGCACAGGTCACGTAAGCTTCAGATGGCATCATTGCATTATTCATTATGCTGCTTTTAACACTGATGAATGATTAATATTGTTTGGTGCTTTTTTTAGGGTCTACTGTTTTGTTCAAAACTGAAAATAAAAATCATTAATTTAATCAAATGCAATAATGTATCTCTATAAAATGAAACAATCATATTATATTAATGTGAAACACAATTTTTGAGAATATTAAAAACTTTTTAGTACATAATATAAATATGCACATCTTGTATTGTATATTATATAATTTTGTATAAAGTTTTAAAATTTAATTTAATTAATTTTTAATGATTCATTTATAATATTATTTATAATATTATTTAAATTATTCACTATGCCATAATTTAACATTATTGGTTAGATTACTCATTCTCAATCTCAACTGATATAAAAAAATTATCATGTATTTGTATTATTATCATTAATATTTTAATAACAATATAACAGATAACTGAGTGAACACTGAACACAATCAAAGCATGATCATCACATAGCATTCCACCACATTATATCCAGAGGCGTCATGACATCAATGATCGACCAAAAATCTCAATTTAATAATTAATGATTAACTAATTATTAACTAATGCAATCCTAATTTAATAAAAACAAACATTCACGTTCATGGAAAAAGCAATGATATTTTCATGGAGGAGACTGAATTTTTCAAATTAAAAGTGAACTGAAGTAAACAGTATTCAGTTATCAAAAGATAAATTAACGTTAATGTTCAATGGAATCGCAAGCAACTTATAATAAAATAACAGATGACATATATCAGCTATTTATAATACCACTTTTATACATATATTATACAAATATTAAACGATTAAAATATTAGAATATTAAATGTATGTTGAAAGAATAACATTATTTTCTAAACAAACAGATTCAAACGACATTAGGTTCTATGATTGTTGCATAATTTTATTCGTCTTATTAGGTTTCTGTCTTAGTGGAAATAGTGAACATATTTAGATTTTTATCAATTATTATTTATATATATATATATAACAAACATATATGCAAATACTTATATATAATATATATATATATACATTTATTTATATATGTGAGTGTATGTAACGTATTTGTTTATTCATCCATTCATATTTACTGGGAACATCATTATACTTGTTCTATTGATGTTATTGTTGTTATCATCCTGTTGTTACACTTAAACATTCATTGAAGCTTTCGTACAACAAGTTTTTCCCCAGAGAAGTAACTAATGCCTGCCACGTAGATAGCCATACCATACCATACCAGATACCGTACATGCACCATCACAGCGATCACATGTACATTTTTACGACGACTGATTTGTAAAATAATTTTGCACGCTTTAGAATTCACTATTACCAGGTCTCAATTTTCCAAAGTACATGATAGCAGCTGGGAAATGTGCTAAAATGACATTAAATATTAATTATCATTAAATTAGTAAAACATAAAAATGGACAGCATAAAATTGAATTCATAAGCATAATAGGTAACTATGTGAAAATTGTAAAAGGAATAATGATATCGAGTGAGAGTGAGATAGCGAGTTTTTGTTCAACAAAAGCACAGTAGCTGCTAGAAGAATGCGGACTTACAGGCAAACTCATTCACAAACAAAAGTTCTCACAAAAATGATTCATCGATAAATTTTCTAACGACGAAATTAGTTGGATAATAAATAATAATTAATGGAATACAATAAAAGAAGTTTGTGCACTTGTGAAAAACAAAGTAAACGTATTCGCTTCTAATCCCACGATATTATTTATATATTCGATGCGTAGTCAACAGTTGATGCTCCAAACAGGATGTTATAAAAGATAAATAAATGTTCACTTGTGATATTAATTGCTCAGATACGATACAATCATTGAAAACCAGTTCATCATTGTATGCATGGATTACGTTGGATACGACCTGAAAAACTGTAAAGATATTTCAGTCAGTGCACCGTAAAAGAAATAATTTATAATTTCATTTAAAAAAAATGACGGACAACGAAGTCATCGGTCAGTTAACTAAATTGGAGTGAGTTGATGTTATGCTGGAAAGTTTGTAACTATAATTAAAAAACTTTATTAGAATTATTTCTAATTGATGTAAAATTAATTGAATACAATTAGAGGAATCTTTTTTGTTATTGAATCGGAATAGTTGAAAAACAAATAAATGATTAAATAAATATATAAGTAAATATATAAGTAAATAAATAAAATGTTGTACCGCAGTTGGTACCATCCCTGCATCGATCGCCACATAGCGGAAAGTTTGCTGATGCAGAACGGTGAAGAAGGGCATTACTTGCTGAGGCCCAACATCTACAACAATGTTCTCACCGTTTCTGTCAGGTTGGTTGGTTATTTCTCTTCTAATTTAACGAATGTGCTATGCTAATAAAGACTAAAATGTTAGAGTTTAATAATAGAACTGTAGCAATTGGTTCTGTCCGATAAGTAATAAGTTTCGCAAACTTCAAATTCTCTAAATGAATGTTTTAAATTATTTTCAAAGAAATATTTTTATATGATATTTTTTCACTGAAAAATAGAGCCAAGGATTCGGTGAAACATTTCCAAGTGACAGTTTCAGCGGAAAAAGGAGAAATTGCTTTTGGTTTAGCTGTATTCAAAACGGTTAAAGACTTTTTGAAACATTTCAACAACCAGCCTCTGATAGCTGGAGAATCAGGTTAATGAAAAAATTCTGTTATCAAAATCAAACCTTGCCCTAAGTGTTTTGAGATGGTCATCAGTTTTTAACGTTCGTCATCATATCTCTCGCACATCCTCCAGTTTTTTTTTATCTTTTAAGAGTTAATAAAATGTTTTTAATGTGTGCGTGCGTCAATTCATCTTTTATAATGTAAAAGTATTTTTTCATTCCGTTTCAACATTCCCGTGTGATGAAGTTGTAATAAGGTTGCACATAGTATTGAAATATAAAAGCCAAATCATTCATTTGAGTTTTTTATCATAGCAAAGTAAGTAATATTAAGCGAGAAATATTTTGATCGGTCGCAAATTCGTTAACCTCATTTGTTTTCAAGTAAGATATAGAGATTTTTAAACAAATATTTAATTGAAAAATTACATAATAAACCTAAAGGGATGGTTTGAAAACTATTTAATATTGGAGTTGCATCTTTGATTAATGCAACAACAAAGCATTTTTTGAACCATCTAAAGAGAAATCTTTAACAGACCATTATAAATATGTCCTAATGATTTAAATACACAATAATGTTATCAAAGTGTAATTCAACATAAATGAAATTAAAATAATAATTTTTATACTAAACCAAAGGCTTGCCAGTTATGTTAAAATCTCCGTATCCAAACAACGTGGCGGAAATATCTCAATATGAACACGTGAAGGTTCACGCCGAAATGAGAGTTTCATCAATGAATGAGGAAGAGGAAATGAAATCTGTTAACCAGTCCCGCCTACCTGTTAGTGTCACGTGTGCGGTGCTTAAGTGCGTGCTTGTTAATGGACATCACATCACATCTTACCTTACAAATTCTAGAACTTTCTATTTAAAATTTTACTCTTAACATTTCCGGCTGTCTTAATGAGGTTTTTGTCATGAATATCACAAAATATTTTCTTTCAATTTTTAACTAAACAACAAAATATTTGCAGACAGCCACAAAAGAAGGTTTTTTAACAAAATTGGGAGGTGTTATAAAAGTATGTAGAATATCAATTCAACAAGTTGGCGTGCGTAGAAAATTATTAAAATAAAACAAACGAACAAACGACAGAATTGGAAGTGTCGGTGGTGCGTGTTGAACAGGTTGGAGCTGAAGTATTACAAGCAGAGGCAGGATGGCGAACCTTTAAGGACGATAGATTTGCGAGACTGCCTTTATTGTACTGTCGACACAACTCAGAAACACAGCAACTGCTTCGCGTATGTTTTTTATTCAAATTTGGATTCATTCATCTATGTTTTATTTTATCAGTGCTTTTCATATTTGTTCCATTTTGTGCCTAAGAAATCGCTACACGTAAACTATTAACATTAATAATAATTGATAATAATAATTGTATTTATTAAATACAATGAAGTATTTGCATCTTAAATTAAGTGATTAAACACATGTCCAAGTCGGCACGTTACATTCAAGAAATATTGATAATTTCGTAACCGATGGACCAATTCTTCCAACGCAAAATAAACTTAGACCGCAAACAGATATGAGAATTTTTTTAAACTTCATTAAACAAAACAACATGTCAAACGTTTGTGCACAGCACATCTCATTTAACAGTCGGAAATTTTTTGTACTTGAGGCAGATCACTGAAACCTTTCACTCTTGCCATTGAGTCACCATGCCACTGAGAGTAATCCCTATTTCTCGTTTGTATTAGAAATTTTTTGGGTTGTTCAAAATTTTAAATATCAAAAAAAATTTTTGGAAACGTAAGGCTTAAACTTTGATACACATAAAAACCAAACGATAATTTAATCTATTTATAGATAAATAAAATAAATAATGTTAACATGAATCTGTCAGCTGCGTAGATGTTGTGTACAAATACAATGTACCGAACATTATAATCATTCGTTGTTTTGAAATCATTAATTGGTGTTATTACTATATTATTTTTAACTAGTTTCTCCTAAAGTGCGATTAGACGAGTAAACAAAATTAATTTTAGACTTTCACCTAACTTGCTCACTAATGTTTCATATTACAATACATTTCATGACGATGTTTTCCTTTAAATATATTTTAATTTAAATGAATGACGATTTTTGGTTCGTTATGTCCGAATGTATGTTTAAACTGATGAGTGCATTCTTACTCTATTCATTGTTCTATTAGAATTACTCGAAAAACTTTATTATTCGTTATAAGTAAATTACTTAATTCATTCAAACTGACATTATCTAAAAAATAGGTTCTCTAGTTTCGATAACAAATGGATAGATAGGTACTCAATTTTTAACACAAAAACTTTATAGCACAAAACATTGAGCTAAGAGGATGATTTAAATTTTGTTACACAGGGTTAGGCTACATTACATCAATCCACTTTAATAATGAATGAACGAATTGCCATTCGCAGAAGCTATTAGAAAACTAATTTGTGTTGTGTTAATAAACTTAAATTTACGAACTGACTCAATTACTTAACTTCCTTATTCTAAATCAACTAATTTATTTTAAATTATAGTTCATTTATCGGCATTAATCACTCATCCAATCACCGTAATTTGTATAGCGCAATTTCCACAATGTTCAACTGAGCTTCTTAACATTCGACAAACATACAGAACATACATAAATAAATAAAAAAAAACCAACGCTACCTTTGCAATTGGAGTTTTTATTTATTCATTACACTTGTCAGAGGCATCAATAAAAAACACATCGCATTTAGATACATATGAAACAACGCATCACCCACATTGCATGTGATATTCAGGGTCTCCAAAATCGAATCCTGTCACCACAATAGCAGTACCAGGTACATCACTGTTAAACTATCGCTATTTACTTAGCGTTTAACTGTGCTTTTCTATGTTTTTGAAGGTGAAAAACATGCATACGTGCAAAATGAAACATCACGCTTTTTAGCACGGGATGGGCGGGGAATTCTGCGCTCTACCTCTGCACCATCTTGCTGTCCAAACTGCGTTATGTTGCCGCCTATGCCTACGGAGACCTTCATACGAAATGCGATTCAATGTGCACTTTAACGCTGTAGTACTGCAGATTCGCAATTTATTAATCTCTAAAACACGGAACTTCATTACATTTTGTTATTGCAATTTTGGAATCGCAAGCAGAACAGTTTTGATGAAACATTATAAAGAAATGCAAAATTTTGCAGCTTGTGCTTACCTTGGAGGACATTCTATTTTTCGGCCGCTTCGCAATCGGAGATGGAAGAATGGATGAAAATAATCAACTGGAAATTAGTTAGCGATTTATTAATGTAAATCTAAGATTTTAGCAATCACATTTAGTTGCAGTAATTATCAAAAGTTGATTGACACTCAATAATCTATTTATTTAACATTTTAACTTTACAGGATTGTATCAAAAGGGAAAAAATCGACCTGCCCCTGCCAGTCTCATCCCCTACCCTCTAGTTCATCATAAATATTTATTCTTGTTTAGAAAGGCTAGATAGTGTTTTAGTAATCGTTTCAGTATTCAATTTATTCATTCAATGTTTATTTAATCAGATGTGAATGCAACTACAAACATTTAACTGATGAAAATTTGTATGTGGCAACGTTACGTTTGAACTTACCGTGTCTTAATTAAATTTTAACAAACGTTCATGAAATACCGATTGCCAAGTTGTATATACAACATAGATATTATAATTACATAATTATAACACCAAACTACTGCACGAAAATATTTCATGTAAATTACCTAATTTAAAAAACATATTAATAAACAAATACAAAAATGAACAAGACATAAAAAGTTGAGTACATACGCACTTAACAAATTCACGTTCCTATGATTAAAAAAAAGAAAAAATATATATATATTATATATTAAATTTTAACATAATGAATATATATATATATATATATATATATGCATATACAAAAAATTGTCTGTTTAATTAACTTAATATTATTAATTTATCTAATTAATTTAACAATTGAATACTAATTAGATCTGTCCCAAATTAATTTTGAAGCATTCCACTTGTACTTTCTAGCCTGTCCATTTTTGAAGAGAGAGTTCAAGGACTGTGGATGGTCCATTAGAATTCTAAACGTCGACCTTATGTGCTCGACGAAATATTTGGATTCTTGTTCAGGAGATGTAGAAAAATTCTAGAGTAAAATTTAGTTATTTAACATTCATTAAAGGTCTAATACATAATTGAAATTTGAAAAAAAAACTGGGAATGTAAACCTGTCTGATAGAAGCTTCGTCAAGTTCATCAACGTTAACATTACATATGACTGACCAATCGAATGGGCCAACGACTAAACACTTGTTCACGTATATGTCCAGCATCTTTTCGCAATGAAAATTAACAGCTTAATATATTAATTTTATCGTTTTTTTTACGTTGAAAAGCAAATACAGTAACTTTAAATTTAAATAGGGTAAAAATATATAAAATAGAGATGAATGAATGAAATCATTTATTTGCACGGACAAAAAAATAAAATAATGTTGTGTACAAAAATAGAGATAATTTTAACATCCAATTAGAGCTACGGATTATTATCGTTAAAGAGAATGTTGCTTCCATTTTTGTAACCTTTTGCTTGAGAGCGAAACCAGAAGCAGATCTGATATCATTGTCTGGTCCTTTGTACGTGAACTCAGCAGGAAAGATCGCACGCGTTCTCGTGTTGTAAGCTGTGGAAATACTTAACTCTACTTCTATCGGTTTTTCAGTTTATGCATTGTTTATTTAAGCATATGTTATTTATATTATCGCTGAATTTATTACAAACGTGCCATTGCTGATAAAAAAAATGTTAAACTTAGAAACTTAGAAGAATACCGAATGTTGTCCTGAAGATGTGTGCATCTAACCTATCAGTTCCATTATGTCATATTTTTGATCTATCATTTAGAAATAACCAGCTACCAACTAAATGGAAATCTGCTATTGTTACTCCCATTCATAAAAAGGGTCCCACAAACCACCCCAGCAACTACCGACCTATTTCACTCACGAGTTCAAGTTGTAGAGCAATGGAAAAGATTATAAACAAAGTAATATTATCTTTTCTTTTAGAAAACAAACTAATTACGCATTTTCAACATGGTTTTCTACCTGGTAGATCAACCTGCACCAACTTAATGCAATTTTACAGCGACTGGATATCACTTCGTCAGAACAAAGAAGGCTGTGACACCATTTACCTCGATTTCCAAAAAGCTTTTGATTCTGTGTCACACTCGAAACTGGTCGGAAAATTAAGATCCTATGGAATATCTGGTAATCTGCTTGCCTGGCTGTCGGACTTCTTGTCTCAACGTTCCCAGCTTGTTAGAATTCAAAACAAATTATCCAATTCAGTATCGGTTACCAGTGGTGTCCCCCAAGGCAGTGTCTTGGGTCCAACTCTATTTATTATCTTCATTAACGACATTGTTGAACGCATTTCATCTATTTCAGTTTCAAGTTTGCTATTCGCTGACGATATTAAATTATTCAGCCGTTCATCCAACTCAGTTCAACTTCAACAGGCCATCAACGATATAACAGCTTGGAGTATCAAATGGCAGTTGCCACTCTCTCCGAGTAAATGCTGTCATTGCTCATTTCTTCCATCTTCGAGATCAACATTAGTTCCACATCAATATTATATAGATCAACATCTTCTCAGTTGTACAAATGACTTCAGAGATCTTGGTGTGATAGTGGACAGCAAATTCAACTTTAATGCGCATATCAACAACATCACTCACAAGGCTTCTTCCCGCGCTCGCTTAATCGTCAAATGTTTCACATCTAAGAATAAGGATCTACTTGTGAAGGCTTTTTGCAGTTATGTACGTCCTCTACTTGAATACTGCTCACCGCTATGGAATCCGCACTACAAATATCAAATAACCAAGATTGAAAATGTTCAGAGAAGATTTACCAAATTCATTCCGTCAATTCGTCATCTTCCATATTTGTCTAGATTGCAAGCGGTAGAACTACAAACACTTGAGCGGCGTAGATTGGTTCTTGATTTGTGCTTGCTGTACAAAATATTACACAACCTCATCAACACAGATTTAAATGGTTTTTTCATCCCTTCACATTATCTGTCAACTCGCGGTCACCCATGTCGACTGCAAGATTTCAACGCTGGAGACAACGTAACAAAATATTTCTACTGTATCCGGATTATCCGAGTGTGGAATGCATTGCCGGCAGACGTAGTGTCTTCAACTTCACTTGCTGTCTTCAAAAATCATTTACTCACTATTGATTTAAATAGATTTTTAATTATAATGTGATTTATTGTTAAATTACGTTTAATATTTACATATATGCCTAACTAACTCTGTTGGCTAAAACTGTCATATCATTAACCAATTATAATATCAGTAGTACATTTTTTAAGTTATGAAGTTATCTTCTATGTTTGACTATAAACTTTTTCATTATTCATTACGATCATTGTGCATCGATCTCTGTTATTATCCTATGTTTTTACTTAATTCATAGACGTACGATTCATTTTTCGAACATTTTTTTTCATTTTTCTTACCGGATAGGTGGTTTTTTTTAGCCCTCTGGTTTTGTGAATAAATAAATAAATAAATAAAAATAAATAAAAAGTGTAAATATAAAAAAATTGGTCAATATAATCAATCAATCAATCAGTTTATAAAGCGCTATTTCCACGATGTTCAACACCGCTCCTCAATGAATTTTGCAAACAGATGGGTCTTGAAATCCGCTCCGAACTTCGTAAGTGATGGAGAAGTAGTCAGAGAAGGAGGTAGAGTTCCAGAAAAATCAAATGCAAATTCAGCAAGAGTGTTTTATTATAGTTCTATCAATTTATTGTCAGTATCACCATCGTCCATTGCTGAAAATTGTCTAGCCCAATTCATTTTAAGTTTATTTTATATAAAAAATAAAACGTTGAAAAATTTAAATTGTAAAACATTTTAATATTATTTTACGAGTGTTCACCAACCTAAGCCAGTTATGATGGGGAAATGTATGCCATCCCGAACTTCATCGTTCTCATCTGCAACAGTTTTATTCACATTTTAAACTAAGTTACAACGCATTTCGAAAGACCAGGGTCAAGATATTGAATCTTTTCTCTTTTTTCACTTTATTTATCATGTTCGTATAACAAACCAAAAGCTTGCCTTTCATTGTCACTCTTCCACAAATCTTCCTCGCCTCTCGTAACATCGAACACTTCAATCAAACACACGCATTTACAGTTACTTGAAGGTTTCTTTACATCTATATCTCTGATTCTTTTTTCACAAATTCAGGGTTATTTTCGTTAGAATATTTTATAAGCTTCTACGAATATTTTTTTTACTTTTCTAACTCCTAGCAACGTTCTGCGCATACAACCGTAGCCTGTCATTCAATCACATCATTTTAAAAAGAGACGCATGCTTGAGAACAAGGAAAGATGCCTACCACAAACGCAGTAAGTCATCAAGTGTAACTCCTCTTCCCTCGCTAGCAAACAACCTGCAAAGTTTATCATCCAATATAGCAATAGAATATAAATGTTAAAGGATAAATAAAAAAATATTAATTTAATGGAAGTTACGCTCATCCAGTGATAATGTGGTTAAAAAATTTTTATTGTATGTCAAATAAGATAAGTTTGTACATCAGTACATGCTTTCATGAATGAAATAACTAACTGATGACTTCTAAACTGAGTTTCTTTGAAAAATTTCTCTGCTCATGAAATCCGCCGACAATATGTAATTCAAATCTGAGTGAATGAATGAATGAATGAACGAATGAACGAACGAACGAACAAGTGAAACACTATCAACACCCAAATCATAAACAAACCCAACACAATAAAAGACACCATAAAACATAATGTACTAGAAAAAACGTTGGTACCTTCCCTCGGGCCCGACTAGAGACGACTGCTTGAACTTTGTCAGCAACCTGTTTATCCCCTCTCTCGTGTAAGACCCGTCTAGGTGCGCCAAGCAACAAACCCCACTACCTGGTTTGATAACATTTGTGTACCATCATCATGTCACTAACTATCAGCATTGCATCTTTATAGCAGTCCCATCAAGTTAAACAATTTGACGAACATCAAAAACTAATTCCATTGAATTCGATCATATACTCAATTATAATATTTTAATATATATTTTAATATTATTTTATAATATAATAATTATAAATAATAATATTTCATTATTAAGCTTATTAGGTTAAAATTAAATTTTATTGCAGGTAATAAGTGATATAAACAAAATTTCAATACAACATTGCATAAGTTGAAATCTAATTGAAAACATCCTTTTTCAAAAACAACTTCTACCCAATAGAATTATATGTGAAGATAGATTCTCATATTAATTAGAAAGATGAAACAAATTTATTTTTTTTATTTTTAATGTTATCTTCGAAAAAAATTTATTCAAATGAAATTTAATTTTAAAGGTTAACCGGAATGAACAAGAATGAGGATATGACACGTCGTTGATTCATCTGTGCCAACCAGTTCAGGCGCATCTGTGTCATTCACATTTAAAATAAAATATTCTGATACAATCCTTTTCAAACCTATGATATCATTTTATTTAAGATAATCTAAAATTTTATGATATAGTTCTTAATTCAAATAACTTGAGAAATGGATTAAATGAATAGAAATGAATAATAAATAAATATGTATGGACCTGGCCCAGGCGCTACGACAGCAAATTCTTTTTGAGCCACGTATAACACATACCTGGTCTCACCGACAATGTCAACTTTTTGTGATTTTAAATATTCATTTGAGACCTAATTTGTTTTAAAATTTAAATGCAATAATAATTTCTCTAAAATTTATTAAAAATAAATTAGAAATGCAGTTTGACCTTTATGCTATCACTTTTTTTGTATGCGTCATTCAGATCGATCAAGTTGAAAACTTTAGAGCCATCAATTATAATGGGCATGTCACTTGCACTTTAAATTTTTATGTGTCAGAAAGAAATACTTCAATATTGAAAAGCTGAAGAAAAGAAAAGTTCATTCATAAATTAAACATGTAATTATTTTAAAAAATAGGTTCAATTAACAACATTAACATCAAAAACATTAGTTTTTAAACTTTAAAAGAGAGTTTTAATTTTAATACACTTGATAGTTTAGTTTAGAGAGTTTAGTCAGTGTTAGTTGTTAATCTTTGTCTAACTAGTAAACTCTAAATTTTTTAAAATTTAGTTAGTACTAATGTCTAATTCTAATGCTAATCTCTAATTCTAATCTAATGCTAATCTTATACTCCTAATCGACCTAATGCCTTATATATCTAATCCTAATGGTTAATGCTAATAATGAATAATCCTAATGATCTGAATTAAAAAAAATATTTTAAAAAAAGTGTTTCAATTGTTAATTGTTTAAAAAATTATAACAAATAAAACCCCTTTACGGTAATCTCGGAGACGGCAAAGTGGTTTTTCCAGAAATATTTATTTATAGTCAACAGTTTAAAGAAACTCATAAGCTCCACCCACGGTGCAACTAATAAACTAAATACATCCTGCATGTTCGTTGGTTAGCGACAGTATAATGTAAACAGCCGAAATACTAAAAAAAGGAAAACTGTTTTTTGAGTAATTATTTTTCAAATGTTATTGAATTTAAAAAAAATAAATAAAATGTAAAACGCTTGACAATGCAATCTACCTTTAAACGATTTTGAATCAAAATATAACCTGAATTTTATGCTTTGTACCATATAATTAGAATAAATATAACGGCCTTCGCTCATTTTTGACGGTCGAACAAGGAGCTTACTTCCGGAGGAAAATTGGAGGGTGATTTTTTATCGCCCAAGTCAAAAGTTACGATCGTATATTTATAAATTTCGGAATATTGCTTTTATTTAAAATTTCAAAATGTTTTAAAAGGTGATGCTAGATGCTGTTTTGGGATAGATATTGCTGTATGACGGTTAAGTATCTTTTTGCATTTTAAATAAAAAAAATTTTTTGTGAACCACCAACAACACAACAACACTAAACGACGACTAATTAGTAATTAAATTACTAAACTCTAATAATTAAACTAAAACTAATCTCTACTGATTCTAATTACTAATTGAAATAAATAACAGATAACACTAACGAACATTAACAGATTAGACTACTAGAAACTACCAACCACTACACTAATACATACTACTACAGCACTACACTAACGACTAACAGCACTTGTTCCTAAGATTCCAAATTCTATTGCTTGATTGGTTTTAAAATTTTTATTTACAATGCTTAGGTCTGGGAATAAAAAATATACTAAATTAAATAAATATATTAAACAACTTACTAATCAATTTTATAAAATAAACAATTTTGTAATTTGTTCAATTCAAGCTTCAAACTCCCCAAGCTAACTTGCAATTTAATTAAAATTTATTAATTATGAGTGATTCAAACTAAATTTTTTTTATTTAATGTTTTACAAAATATTCCTCATTCTTAAATTGTAGTACATGTTGTTATTAAAGATAATGTGTGATTCCAGTGATTCATCAATCCATGACTTGTTAGATCATGATCATTCAGTTTTAAAGAATCCCCATCACCGTAACCAATGAGGTTTGTAAAAATTGTACTTTTAATTTATTATATTTTATGCACTTAGAATGTTGTGTTATTAATTATTATCATTAATTTATTAAATGCTGTGCATACCTATGGCAAGTAAATAAAATAATTAAGCATTGAAATAGCCACAATCAAATTAATTTATATAGGCATGAGTATAATTTGAATAATAATAATTAAAAATATCGGTATCATTGAAAATGGATAAAGTCATAAATAAAAAAATAAATCATAAATTGCTAAAAATAATAGTTCCAGTAAGATTTTGCCTTACACCTACATCTTTTTTTCATTCTTATATTATAATAAATGTTTGTTATCAAATATATCAAGGATTGATTTCTCAATCCATGACTAGATTGAATGTCATGACCCTACAGTTCCAGAGGATCCCCATCACCATTAGTCAATAAGGTTTGTAGAAATCATCCCAGGCATACCATCAATGTTTTGTAGCCACCTTTTAATGTAGTGTTAATAAAATGACATTGAGAATAGTTATTTAAAACAATCTTATTAAAATTATTGAACAGGTATGACAAGATTACTTTCTTAATGTCCTAGTGTAAGGAAGATGTAAGCCATTTGTCCAAAGATAATCATATGCCTTATGCCCATACAAATGCAGTGTCAACGCGAATGATTTTTGATCAGAGTCATATGTTCTAATTTTTTTAAACTTTTCCAGAAATTTTTCTGTTAATTTATTTGTTACATTAAATACTTGATGTGTATTTCATATAAAAACTTGATTATGCCAATTTAGTTAACTTGTTAAGCATTAATATAAAATTGACTCTACTTGTAATGGTGATTGGTATGATGATGATCCCAGTCCTAAACAGGGTTTATTATTCACAATGTCATTGTGCCCTTTCTAAGTTTTAATAAAATACATGGAATATTGGTGAATGCATTTTATATTTTTTGTATAGACAATGTTGCAATGTACAATGATGATGTGAATTGCTTCCTTGTGTAACTGATGACATATAAATATAACTAACTTGAAAACATGGGAATGCTTTCTTCAGCATTACCTTCCTTTTTCCATCATAACCCTTATAATCTTTATTACAGAAATGGTCACTGCATATTCTTGCATTTTTTGATGGAAGCCATTTGAAATCATTTATTTCCTGTCTGATGCACTTAATCCAATCGTTTTGCATTTTTACATTTTGAGGAAATCTGAAATTTTATAAACTGTTACAGAAACTTGTGCATTTCTTAAGTATTGCTTTTAATAATAAAATGGTAATCCATGATAGCATTATATTATAAATTATAATAGTCTATAAAATAAAATATATGTTATTGTAAAACAAAATAGTTCTATTCAATGAGTATAGGGATATTGTTACATTTATTTTAGTGTGAAGTTAATTTGAAAATAAACCTGTAAAAAGATGCATAAAAAATTTTCTCATTTCTATTTATTATTAATGGAATTTTTAAAGCAACACGTAGGCATGTTTGTGTATAGCTACGAAAATGAAAATTTACTTAAAAACTAAATTATTGTATCTGACACGAAAATTAGTACAGAAACAAAAACGAAAGAATAAATGACAATATAAAAATTTAAACATTGATTGAAAGAGTTTATTCTAATTATATGGTATGGGCAATTCGTTGCGAAACCGTTGGAGGAAATGGTGTCAACAGTAGTTATTTTACTGCATGGTAGTTAATCAGCCGGTATAAAGGTTATATTCAATTCCTATCAAATAAATTTGACAAAATATACACAGGCAGAACTAAATAAAGAAATAGACATGTAGTTATAATACATTTATAATGTTGTATTTACACATTCAAATTGTACAATTGTGTTATGGTTGTCTCAAATTATTTTAAATTCTCTCAGAAAATTTTAAACGTTTTACTACACTATATATACTAGTTATTTTTATCAACAATTTAAAAATTTTATCAATAATTAAAAAAAAATTTCAATTTGATTTCATTGCGATAACACTAATGATTTTTGTGACCTGACTGATTAAAAAGCATCAGTTAAAAAAGTTAAAATAGTATGGAGAATTTGAAATAGGATGTTAAAATAGGATGGAGAATTTGTTATATTGGGATATTCGTTTAAAAAGCGAGCAAAATTTTAATATGAAAGCGCTTATAAATCTATGCATATTGGCTCAGCTTGGCTTGGCTCGGCTTGGAATTGGATGTTAAGCAAGGTGTGGTCTTAAACTATTTTGAATTCTCCCCGAAAAATTTGAACTGCGTGCGTACATATATAGTAATGGCTACTGTTGTTTTTTATAATGAATTTATGCATATTGGCTCAGCTTGGCTTGGCTCGGCTTGGAATTGGATGTTAAGCAAGGTGTGGTCTCAAACAATTTTGAATTCTCCCCGAAAAATTTGAGCTGCGTGCTTACATATATAGCACTGATTACTGTTGCTTTTATAATGAATTTTTATTATATATATATATATATATATATATATATATATATATATATATATAAAGTGACTGGAATCCATGTATACAAATAATTAAATTATATTATATTAGATTATGTTTATATGAAAAGCAATATAGCAGATTCAACCAGCCACCAGAAAGTTTCGAAGGCGTTCGTTCGATGACTTCAATTTAGTACGGTTAGCATTTTGGTTAAGACTGTACAATAGTGTAGTACATACATTAAATAAGTTTTTTATTGATGTGAATGATTGAAATGATGAAAATGTATGGTTGAAACGAGTATAAATAGGAGCTGAAAAAACGTTGAAATCAGATCAGGCATTTCTGCCTCGCTCGAGTCGGAGTTCCTGATCTCATTTTTTTATATTTATATTTTTTTAATTAATTAATTTTTATTTTATTTTATGTAGAGTTATTTAGAGTTATATAGAGTTTGCATGTCTGTGGTTTGTATGTTTGTATGTTGTATTTGTTTTATATTTTAGGTGGGTTCTTTAGCGGTTGCTCATACATACATACATACATCATGTTTGTTTGTGTGATAGTATTTTATGTTCTGTTTTACTCCTTTTTCTCTTTCTTCATGAGTCTTGAGTTAAGTTAATGAAGCATGGGTAGGTGAGGTAAAAATTAATTTATTATATAGGTAGGCTAGGGCATAAGGTAATTTAGTTACATAGGTAGGTTAGGGACTCCTATTCTTTTACTCTACTTGGTGGTGTGATTTTTGTTTTGTGTTTTTTTTTGTTTTGTTTCACATCATACATTCAGCAGGTACGCGGTGGTTCCTGGTTTTAGTGGGATTTTTATTGATTGAATGTGGTAGTATGCATGGTTATATAGAGTTATATAGAGTTATATAGAGTTATATAGAGTTATATAGAGTTATATAGAGTTATATAGAGTTATATAGAGTTATATAGAGTTATATAGAGTTATATAGAG